GCCGACTCAAGAGAGAATATAAGAACGTGGAGTTTCTATTTAGACAGTGACCGGGGTTGGGAGGATTGGCTGCGCTTCCCCTATCAGTTTCACAAGTCCCGGGTAAATACCTGTGCTTTCTGGCGACGAGGATCAATGAAAGGAATACAATAGATCCCGAGCACGTGATGTTGGCACTAACGAGGCTGAGAGACTTCATGGTCGAAAGATGGATAATGGAAGTCTTGATGCCGGTTTATTGCCCAAACAGGGGCAAGTTGAGCCCAAGGGAGTTATACGCCATCCTACACGTGATCTTCGCAGAAACGGAGATAATGGTACATCTACACAAGAAATACTACTTGAGTATCGCCTGAATTACGGGCGGACAATGGAGGTCTCGAGTTAGGTACATGGCCATCTCGAGTTAGGTACATAGGGGCACGAAGCAGGTAGATGGAGTTTAACGCAGTTGGCATGACAATTAAAATTTAGAGAGTTGACAGTGCTAAAACATGAAATGAATCTGCATGCTCTTAAAATTTACAATTGAACTGTTTTAGTAAAATAGATGATGGGATAATGTTTTAAAACACAATGATGGGGGGCTTAGGATAGGCACAGGACATCTTGGTCTAAAAACTGCATTTTATTTTCAGATTGATTTGCAAAATTGAGTTGAATACCTAGCCGCACTAATTCAAAAAGAAAAAGAAGATCTTGAACAAGTTCATGATCTGCAGCCTTTGAAGGAGACGTTTCTCAACTCTCAAGTTGGTTGGTTGGGTAATTCTCAAGTTGGTTGACACGTGAAATCATCTGAAGATTATGACAATGGCAGATCGCTTTTGGAAATCTATGCCTGCAGCGCTCAAGAGACCTACGCTCGATGAACTATACAAACGCTTGAGGGATCTGGATTACACCCAAGTCGATGAGAGGATGGCGGTGATGTTGTATGCCATCCTACAGTTAGAGGCGCAGGGTGAATGCAGGGAATCAGCGACAGAAGCTGTTTTGATGGTTGGCTACACGACGGAGGGGATATCCAATCAAGAACAGACCAGATGGTTGTCCTGGAATGTGGATGGATGCGTGAGGGGATTCGACTTGGCGAGGAATTCTGGCTTGAGCAACAACACAGACCACCAGCGGGGCTCGCGGCCCAATCCACGAGCAGGCCGTCGTCTATGATACGGTGGGCTCAACAGACAGAGGAGGCATACCCGGACCTCAGTAGCTTGAAGAGGGAACTAGAGAGGGCACAGAGGGAGAAAGATATAGCGAACCTTGACAGGGATAACGCGAAGCTTGAGAGGGACCAGGCAAACCTGGAGAGAGATCAGGCAATCCTCGAGAGGGATCAGGCGTGGCGTGATCTTAACATGATCATGGCAGCGTACCAGCATGAGCAGAGGGTCCGCGAGAACTGTGAGCAGCTGAAGTCGGAGATGGAGAAGCTTCAGAGAAGACAACAAGTGACTTCAGGAGTCATAATACCATCGGGAAGCCGATGAAGAGTGTCCCAGCACATGAGGAAAAGGATACAACACATGAGAAGATGATGGAATTGGAACCTCTACTGTAAGCTTCGGGAGAACGCAATCTTCGGAGCATCGATATTACACATGAGGATTGGAAAAGAGTCAAATGCGATCACGACGGGTTGGAAAAGAGTCGGTAGTGTGTCTAGAGATAATACCAAAGCTAGGGAATCGATACTGGAGGAGGACTTGGCGAAGAACGTGAGCCTGAGCCTGCACAACTCCTTTTGCTGGAACATGGAATCGAACATGAAGGGTTTGCCAAACCAAGCAAAGAGGTTGCTAGAGCAGAGGGAGTGGATGCGATCCTTCGAACAACTAAAAGCGTGGGAAGAGATCGTAATCAGCTCTTTTCTCAACTTTCTCGCCACAACTGAAAAACTCAGAAATACAAGATGAGAACAACCGAATTACAATCGCGGAAAAGTAATCAAAAAAAGCAGCGGGAAATTGCTATTCGCAATTTCCAGTCATAAAATTCACACTAGAGTAGAGCTGTCCTATCCTGAATAGGAGGCAGAGCGATTGCGAACAAAGCAGACACAAGTTTGAAGTGGACCAGAGTGAACCTTCAGTGGAAAGGTGGACAGCTGGGGTCTCCCAATTGTCCAGCTAAAAAACTCAATTCTACTGTCAAAACTCATTTCCTTTGCTGGAATTCATCAATTACAAACTTCTTGAGTTAATACTTAATTACCTTAATGCTAGAGTTACTGATCAATTTAGTTACTCCAATTCTTGAGTGTGCTGGTATGTGAGTACCCAATTTAGTTTTTTTGAGTGTGTTTTGTAATTGCTATGTTGAGGTAAGGAGAGTTTTAGGTTGATCCATCTGAGATGGATCAAAGTTCCACTGTCTAATAAAAAGTAACTGTACGGACTGTTCCGACCCTGTTTTTAACGGCCTTCGCGTATTTTGGGTATTTTGAGACCTGCGTATGGGCACGTTCTTTTTTTCTAGAGTGTGGGGGTGTATTTTGGTAGTGGCCTTTAAGCTGTAACGGGGTTTTTAGTCTCATGTCGCAAGTGAACCGAATTGGCTGCGACCGTTCGAGGTGGAAAAATACAAGAGATAGTGTCCCTGACTTTTGAGCCAATTGTTATAGGGCCTATTTTTCTTTAACCTCATATGTGACTTGAGTAGGCGACTGTTACATTTTTCAGATCTTTGATCGTTTCGTAAATATTGTAAAAAGTTTTGATCCTGATGATGCACAAAATGTGCGAAAACGTTTGAATTAGCATTTAAAATTCTTAGAAAATTATTACTGTTTTTGGCTATCGGCCAGAACGCTAGCCAGTCTCTTTTGGCTATCAACTAGAACGCTAGACGCTAGCCAGTCATTTTATAACCTAGCTTTTTTTTTTTTTACGTCGATATGCACTCCCGCGAATGTTACCTTCGCGACATTCCTAAACGAAGTATGCCATGATGTTGAAATAGAGCCGAAACTTTAATCGTTGGAAGGCGAAAGTTTTCACAGCAAAAGAACCACCACTGAAGATGACGCTCGACTTAACATCAAGGTGAATGGGCTCTGGGGAGACCGATTCAGCCGAATCTTTTTCGATGTAAAATTTTTCAACCAACATGCTAAATCTTGCAGTAACACTATATCTGACGCCTACAAATATCATGAGAGTGTCAAAGCATTAAAATACCAACAAGTAATGATGGATGTGGAACACAGCAGTTTTGTTCCACTAATTTTTGCCTGTACCGGAAGAGCAGCACCAGGCTCTACTTAAACCGTTCAGAAACTAGCAGGGAAACTAAGCGAAAAACAGAACGAAAACGAATCATACTCGGACGCAATAAACTTTATAAGAACAAAAATAAGTTTTGAACTTCTTAGGAGTGCAATCCTCTGCCCTACGGGGTGCAAAAAAACTTATAAATGCATCCAACATAGACATTTCTATCTCTGCTATAATCGAGGAGGGTAGATTTTAATTGACAATTCTCTGGATGCATTAAAATCGACATGATTTTTTCATGAAATTTTGCCGATGTATTTATATAGCGTTGGTACGGCCCTGTCCAACCTGTGCACGTACCGTCGCATGACCGAAGGGCCCATTTCAATTGACCTTTTTCAAAAAAAATTTTTCCAGCGTATTGAAAACTTAACCTATTGATTCAGTGTTTTTAAGTTGGGTTAATGTTATCAAAAAAGCGCTAATCATAATTTGTTCTAGAAATTCAAATAGCTTAAAGTGTATCTATTTTCTTTTATATTCGAAAGTTGAGATTTTTTCAACGAAATCAGTATTTTTTGTTTTCTCGTGTTCATTACTTTTTTCCAACTGTCAGTTGGCTGTGTTTTTAGTAGAGAAAGAACTAAGGTTTTGGGCAATTTTTTTGTAATCACATTGTTCGTGCCCCATCAGTATAGTAATTTCATTCAGTTTCACCCACGCATATCCATTTTTTGCTGGGCCCTAGTTGTTTTACAAACTGTCATCAACACTGCGTTTGAGTAACTGCCTTGAAGAGGTTCCGTCAAATCTTGCCGATATTTCAAAGACTTGAGATAATCATTTGGAATCCACTAAACTCTGCACTGGATTGCTAGTTTCTTTTTTAAACTATCGATTCATTTGCAAGTGATCAGTCTCTTTTTTATATCGCAAGTAGTGCCAGGCCAGCTCGCTTCGCTTCTATGTCAAATTCCGGTCTGAAAAGTGAACAGTTTATTATCGGTTTTTATCGACAGAGAGAAAATATATTAGGTTTCAGAATCCGAATAGCCTCTGATAGGGGGCTGAATGTGGTATATCGCTCGAACCTGTCTGACGTTAATTTGTAGTACCTTGGTGTAGAAAACACCCCGTAGACAAAAGTTACTGCCCACCCCTGGGACTGGTCGGAGCAATAAAACTTCTAAATTTAATGCTCATCAAAGTATTGATACGAGGCTGCTTATCAAAAGAATGGTAGCCTTCCAAAAGTCGCTAATCAGAATTATAATGGGAGCTGGGCTTAATTTGATGTGTTCAAACTTTTTAGGGTTTCGTGGGTAAAAATTGTTTTGGCCAATTGATTATCTATCTACATGTTAAGTATTCGAATATGCGGACAAAGTATTTTCATATCAGGTATCCTATATATCAGCAAATGTCTCGTCAATCGACTTGGCATATTCAATTCGTTCCTTCTATTCTTCATTTTAAAATGTCTGATGGGAAGCAAATTTGGAATATTCAAAAATGCATTCTATGGCTTTGTTGCATCGCTATCTATCTATCCAAAGATTTCCTCGAGTATCGAAATATTTTCTCGCAAGAAGTCAATATCTGACCTCAAAAGCTTATTCTATCAAGAGCTTTAGTCAGTCGCTTTGGAAATTCAAATGGGAACTGAACGACATTATTCGCCAGCACAATATTTATTCGAATACCCGTATATAATTCACAGGATCCATCATTTTGTTTTTCGGCTGTTTATTGACGTGAGAACGAAGTTGAATTGTTTTCAGGGTTGTGATTTCTGGTTTAAACAAGAAGCAATTAAAGAGATTCAAAGATCTTAAATTGGTGAGTCGAACTTCGTATGTCTTTTTGATAATTTTACGAGATTTAAGATTTGGATGTCCTGTTTATACCATAGTAAAGGTGAGTGTAACTAGGAATACAGAAAATCGCAAATACAGAAATTGGACCGGATATGGTATGTGAAATTTTGTGTAGTTGTAGGAACATGCCGTTTAATCAACGATACGAGCGTCGCCGGTCAGTTGACGATCACGACCTACCCGCTAGGGATAAGGTTTACAAGCAAAGATACGGTGGAGATCCCATTTTCCGCTCGTTATGCATTAAAGGTGGATGGCCGCGTGGCATTATAGACCGAGAAATCAAAGACGCTATCGAGGATAGCTTCCGAAAGTTCAGGGACTACAATGTGCGAACCGCGATGGTAGCCGGGGAAAAGATTTGCTATATTAACTTCACAACAGAGAGTGATGCCCGCAATGCTCTCGATAGAATGAAAGTCGTCCAAGCTTTTGGCAAAGAGTTTCCCTTGGAGCCAGTAATTAAAGGAGTCCTCCCAGTTAACCGACGTGATCGAGACCGAAGACGATCTAGATCCAATTCACCGGTTAGTTAGAAAATTCTTTAACGTATCGATCTGTCATCTGAGATACGAGGATCAGTTCTTTGTGCTCTTTAAAACTATCTTGACTATTGTGTAATGTGGCTTATGGCATTAAACAGATTTGTTGGAGAGTTAAAGGTTAGATTTGTTTCAGCGATATCGAGAAGGTCCAAAGTCCGCCGTCATAAGCAAAGCTCGCAGCCGTGAACGATCTCCCAAGCCACCGAACGATTACTCGCCAAAACCGAAAAGCAGTTATGATGCCTACGCATCTCGAGAGCCTAGAGGAGTTGAACGTGAAGTTTTCTATCAGCCGAAAAGTTCATCCAAGTTTGAAAATGATCCTCCCTCTAGAATGTTACTTGTGAGTGGCTTAGACAAATCCATTACGGAGAAAGACCTCTATGCCGAATTTCAGCGATACGCCAGCGTAATGACAATCGATATTAAAGTTCCTAGAGATGGTGCGGCGTTTGCGTGTGTTGCTTTTCTGAACCCCGATGAAGCGGAAAAGGGAATGATCGGTATGCAGGGCAAGCGAATCGGGGACAATAAAGTGAAGCTAGTTTATGGGTCGTCTCCAGAGACTTCGTGTATTTGGGTCGGGGGTCTGAGCAAGCAAACAAGCCTCGGTGTTTTGGAAACTGAGTTCGATCGATTTGGCGATATCAAGAAAATCGATTATTCTAAAGGTGATACGTTTGCGTACATCGTGTATAGTTCGTCCGAAGGCGCTAAAACAGCAATAAAAGCGCTCACTGGGCGCAGTATTTGTGGAAGCGCAGCTCCGGTCAGATTCGATTACGTTGAATACGACCAAGTATCAGCTATGAATTATCATTTGAAGATAACTCAGAAGGCGGGATCACCGAAAGCGACATCAAGAACGTCGCCGGTTGTAGTGCGACGAAGTCCTTCTCCGCGTGCTCGGATTCCAAGTCCACCTGTTGCGCGTGAGAGAAATTTGAGACGCGAGAGTCGCAGTCCAGAACCAAGAGGTCGCGACTTCGGACGCGGCGTGGGTTCCCACTATGAAATGGATAAACGTGTAAACAGAGGATTCGAACGAAATCAGGAGACTCGTCGTGAACCATTTTATCGCGAAAATGATAGACGTGACAATGGAGGAGCGGTATTCGTGCGAGATAATTCACGCAGTCGTTATGATAAGGAAGATCGGCGATATAATGGCTCTCAGTTAGAGCGTGGGGAGTACGATAAGTCGCGAAGTCCAGGACGAGGTAGTCGACAGAGTAATCTTAGTCCGGCTTCTGAAGCGCGAAGTGACAAGAAGCGGAACAGAGCTGGAAGTTTTGACAAGCGGGCAAATTATGTGAGACGAGATTCAAATGACGAGCCAAGAAACAAAAGACGCCGAACTCCAAGTCCGATGTCTCTGGCCAAAGAATGCCTGGACGTTACAAGTCTAGCTAAAATTTTAGACAGCTGTTGGCGAGGCTACTTGGTTTTGAAAAACAGTTCTTTCAGTACACATATGACACTGCTTGACGGCAGCCAAGAAGTGTGTCGCAAGTTGTTGACTGAAGCGGAGACAGGAGAAACCGCAAATGCCCTGAAAATTACACAGCGTCTCAGATGCGAAACGGGGAAACTTGAGGAAGTACGAAGACGTATGCAATCTGCCACCAAGGACGGCTTCTGTCTACTGCTTGCAACTCACAACGACAACTCGCCACCGAAACCTCTGCCAGAGCAAACCAACGCGAGAACTTTCAAGAATTTGGTCTCGTATCTGAAATCGAAGCAATCGGCAGGAGTTATTGGGTTGCCGATTGGAGCGGCGGAGAACTTCGGAGTCTTGCACGCGTTTCCACCCTGTGACTTCTTTGCGGAAGATCTGAAGAAAATTGCACCAAAAATTATTGAGCCTGAAAACTTAGAAGATCATCTGTTGATAGTGATTCTCAGTGGGAATGCATAAACTGATAAATGATTAGATGGGTTTCACGAAAAATTGGGAAATTAAATCAAAAACGAATACATTCAAATGATATCGATTATTTCCTTGCTCTCCCTTTATACCGTCTCAACTTATTTGCTGTATACATATGTTTCTTTTTAATTCAGTTTCCGATGTCAGCTGGCTATACTGAGCCAAATTATATCCGATAACCAAAGTAAGAGATAGAGGTATTGAAGTTAAATGTGCGCCAAAAGATTGTCGCCAAAAGTTGTTACTCAAAAAATTTCACAATTAAAAAACTGAGAAAAGAAAATTTTTGAATGCCCATCGCTCCAAAAATTGTTTTTTAACCGTGAAAATATATAGGATTTTTAACCGTTAGAATATATAGGATTTTCTGATTTTCTGATTGTAACTGTTGCACAAGTGCCATATAAATAACCCTGCTTATAAATTTTTCAGGGTTCCCACTATGAAATGGATAAACGTGTAAACAGAGGATTCGAACGAAATCAGGAGACTCGTCGTGAACCATTTTATCGCGAAAATGATAGACGTGACAATGGAGGAGCGGTATTCGTTCGAGATAATTCACGCAGTCGTTATGATAAGGAAGATCGGCGATATAGTGGCTCTCAGTTAGAGCGTGGGGAGTACGATAAGTCGCGAAGTCCAGGACGAGGCAGTCCACAGAGTAATCTTAGTCCGGCTTCTGAAGCGCGAAGTGACAAGAAGCGGAACAGAGCTGGAAGTTTTGACAAGCGGGCAAATTATGTGAGACGAGATTCAAATGACGAGCCAAGAAACAAAAGACGCCGAACTCCAAGTCCGATGTCTCTGGCCAAAGAATGCCTGGACGTTACAAGTCTAGCTAAAATTTTAGACAGCTGTTGGCGAGGCTACTTGGTTTTGAAAAGCAGTTCTTTCAGTACACATATGACACTGCTTGACGGCAGCCAAGAAGTGTGTCGCAAGTTGCTGACTGAAGCGGAGACAGGAGAAACCGCAAATGCCCTGAAAATTACACAGCGTGTCAGATGCGAAACGGGGAAACTTGAGGAAGTACGAAGACGTATGCAATCTGCCTCCAAGGACGGCTTCTGTCTACTGCTTGCAACTGACAACGACAACTCGCCACCGAAACCTCTGCCAGAGAAAACCAACGCGAGATCTTTCAAGAATTTGGTCTCGTATCTGAAAATGAAGCAATCGGCAGGAGTTATTGGGTTGCCGATTGGAGCGGCGGAGTACTTCGGAGTCTTGCACGCGTTTCCACCCTGTGACTTCTTTGCGGAAGATCTGAAGAAAATTGCACCAAAAATTATTGAGCCTGAAAACTTAGAAGATCATCTGTTGATAGTGATTCTCAGTGGGAATGCAGAAACTGCTAAATGATTAGATGGGTTTCACGAAAAATTGGGAAATTAAATCAAAAATTAATACATTCAAATGATATCGATTATTTCCTGGCTCTCCCTTTATACCGTCTCAACTTATTTGCTGTATACATATGTTTCTTTTTAATTCAGTTTCCGATGTCAGCTGGCTATACTGAGCCGAATTATATCCGATAACCAAAGTAAGAGATAGAGGTCTTGAAGTTAAATGTGCGCCAAAAGATTGTCGCCAAAAGTTGTTACTCAAAAAATTTCACAATTAAAAAACTGAGAAAAGAAAATTTTTGAATGCCCATCGCTCCAAAAATTGTTTTTTAACCGTGAAAATATATAGGATTTTTAACCGTTAGAATATATAGGATTTTGTGATTTTCTGATTGTAACTGTTGCACAAGTGCCATATAAATAACCCTGCTTATAAATTTTTCAGGGAACTTACATTCATAATATAAAATTTCCAAATAAGATAAATGTGGAATAAATAAATGCCAAAACCAATCAACTGAGGTCGAACAAAAAATTTAAGGCTTTATTGCTCAAATGTCAGTAAATAGCGCAAACTGGAATCAAATGCATCCACTGGCATCAGTATAAATTCTATTTGATCTTTTTGGGGATACTAAACAGAATTATTTTCTATCCACAATTCTAAACTCAAACAAATTGTGGTTTGGAAGGATTGCAATCGGGCGCTTGATTAGTCTTGTCGGTAGAAACTTAGTACAAATTCAGAGTTTCGATTAGTGATGTCAACTAATCGGTCTTGGGCAAGCCGACGGTACTTAAAGCCAAAAAAACTTAAGGGCTGGAAGCTGAACTTTAAAAGTGGATGAACGTTTCGGTCAATGACTATGATTTAGTTTTATTGCGGTTGTAAGAATATGGTTGCAAAGAGCTGCCTACTGCTGAAAGCTAAAAGCTTGTCACTCGGTTTTGAAAAGCATAATTTATGAACTGAAAAATTCATTGATAACCCGCCATCAGTAAAAAGAGAAAATTATCGATTATATTATAATTTTAATCGTACTTTAAGCAAAATTATAATTAATTATAAGCGCCGATTTTAGATCTTTAAACGATTTATAATCCATTATAATGATAACTTTTTTGGTGACAATTTAATAAATTATAATCTATTATAATTGATAATAATTTTTCCGAAAATCTCGTATAATCTCTTATAATATATTATAATCTATTATAATAGGTTTTAATACCTTTTTCTATCAAAATATTTTTTACAAGAAAAATGAAATATAATGGATTATAATTTAGCTATTCTGCATGAAAACACAGTAAAAAGCATTAAGAAGTAAGAAATCATTAAACCAGGGGCGGATATGAGATTTTCTCGACGGGTGGGCAGGGGGTCGAATCCCTGAAAAAAAGCGTCCGCGAATCCCTGAGAAAGTAAACAGTAGGAAAAGAAACCAACTGAAAAGCACACAAAACAAAGCGAAATGAAGCGATGAGGTTTTTTGAATAAAAATGGATTATAATCGACTAAAATGGATTATAGTTCAATAAAATTTCAATAATTTTTTCAAAAAATAATGATTATAATCGATTATAATGGTTTTTTTGTTTCGAAAAATAGTAACATTATAATCCATTTTTAATCGATTATAATCTCTTTTTTAAAAAAAAAATTTATGGAGACTGACAATAAAAATCTATTATAATCTTGTATTTTCTCTCTTTACTGAGTGCGGGAAGGCATTAAAAATCCTTAAATTCAATTTCAGGCTCTGCACTCACCCTTCCCCGACATTTCAATTTTTTTATTTTTTCAGTTATCTTACTTTGTTCACCATGCAAGTTTTCATTACATTATGACGATGTAGTTAGTTTTTAAAAACTGAAATTCAAATGCGGAAAGTGAAAAAGAACACAATTTCCTTAATGATATTTTGAAACAAGCATAACACCCACCAACTTTCCCTATGATCTTTCAAAATTTTCATTGAATTATTCTCCCGGGCGTGAAATTTTAAGCAATTTGGCAAGTCTCGTCGGCTTGATGTCCGGCACCTAGCTAACCTATTGATACGTTACAGCTAGCTTTTTTACAGCTATATAATTGAACAAATTTTGCTTCCTATTTGAAAAATAGCCAAACTGTTTAGGCATTGGAACTTTTGTTTTTGTGATGCATGCTAAAATTACTATAGAAACTCCTCTTCTGTCAACGAAAATGAGTTTAGTTCTCCTACGTGCCGTTTTTTGTAAAGTAAGCCATTTTTTGTGCTTGCAAGTTTTCCCGGGATGACCAAAAATGCTTATTATACGATTTTGTACAATTGCATACGTACAGAAAATTGTGAGAAAATTACGATAAGCATTTCTTCATCAATCAAAATTATATGAAATGACTACTTTTCGAGTTTTGCTTTATATTTTTGTGTTTTATCCAAAATAACAACATCAGGAATTTTTTAACACAAGAAACCCCCACATTATAGACAAAAATAATAATTTTTTGCATACAAAATATATTTTCTCGAGAAATGATTTTATGAAAGTGATTTGCAACTGAAAAAAATCAGACAAAAAAATTCTAGAAATTTGGTTATTTCGGAAAACTTTCATGGAGCACTGCAAAAAAGCTCATCACAGAATTTTCTTATATGGAAATTGTATCATAAACATTTTCCATTTAAACTCTGTTTGAAATTATTAAATAAGCGTCTATCTTTTATAGAATTTTTTGAAATTTTTCAAAATAAAAATTGTGAAGACTCTTATATAGGTCTTGTTGTTTTTTTTTGTGTTAATACTTCAGGAAAAAGTCTAAATATGCTCTAAGAACTACAGGTGTGCACTCATACAAATTAATGCAATTAATGCATATATGAATGCAATTAGGTATATATGCATTTTATGAGTTTAATTGAAAGTCGTTTGCTGTAATTAGAAAAAGTTACGTAAATAGAACTCTCCGAATACGAACGTGGAAATGGCGCAAAAAAACGTGAACAATTTTTAGCTTCGAAAGTGGAATTTAATTTTAAAAAATCCAGCGGAATGATACTTGAGTTATTGGTCCAGTTTTCTCAAGTTTGGTTATTGTTATCAAAAAAGCGCCAACCAAAAATTGTTCTAGAAAAATTAAAAATTTAAAGGGCCTCTAAGTTCGAAAATTGAGATTTTTTCAAGAAAGTCAATGTTTTTTTCCTGTTTACGCGTTCATTAATCTTTTTCAACTGTCAGTTGGCTATGTTTTGTCTATGGAACTCAACCCAGATTGTTTGATTTAGTCATGTAATTTGAGGATATTTTTCTGTTTTCCTTTTTTGCTTGAAAGTTTATAGTTTTAAAAAACTTCGTCTTAATCAGCTCATTTTATTTTTGTGCTGTTTGAGGGGCTAAAATTATTAATATTATTTTGAAATAGTTCAGCTCTGTTTTGGCGTACAAGCTCAAAGTTTGTAGAGTTAATCGCTCGAAAATTTATTGACACTCTTCTTGTCTCCGGTATGATGGGCGTCTACCCTCATTTTGTCGACTATATAGCCGTTCGGTACGAAAAAAGTTTATTTAATGCTGATAGCTGTGTTTCTCTGATATTGAGTTTTTCTCTTTTTAAACAGAATATTTTATTGCAGTTTTTTTGACACTTTTTTTGACACATCTCATTCTCTATCCACTATATCTCAGTGCTACGCGTAGCCTGTACCTCAAATAACGACCAACTCCGTTTTGCTTCTGTGAAAATACTTTTTCTACTGTAGTTGTTGAAGGAATTGAGTGTTAAATCTTAAAAGAACGCGACAATCTCTAAATTGGTCGTATTTGACCGTTTGGATCAAATGCTGTGGCGACTGAGTTCGAGTTTGTTTTGATTCTCGCATCCCAAAAAATTGTCAGATATTTCTCAAAATATAAATGCTCAATTTTTTGTTAGTTTTGGCATAAACATCGATTTATATATTTTTTTTCACTTGCGACAAGCAAAGGTGTTGCAACCTAGTACTAGATTTTTCCCCGTAAACAAATTGTTCACGGACTGGACGAAATGGTAACCAACTTTATAAAATCATCTCAGAGGTGAATGTAGTTGTTGCATGCTGAGAATGACCCACGTGTGCTTGTTCTGAGTTCTTTCAATAATTTTTTGTGACAAAAAGTTTTGGAATTTGTTCGGTCCTGGAGAGTCGACCTAAATTCCGTCGGCTTATTTTCCGAGTAACCTTTTTTCAATTAAATTTTGTTAGTTTTGAGATTGTTAAATTTCTCTAAATATTTTTCAAAAAGTTGAATTACTTTCCCAGACCTTTCTGAATAATGTACTTAGTTTTAAAAAAAAATTTTAATTAATTTTGCGAGAGCAAGTGGCATGTAATCGCGAACTAGATTTTTCACTCAAACACTATTTCATTATCAAATCCTTACAACTTCCAGGTTCGTTTCCATTTGGCCTAGAGGTAACGTGATTGCTTTTCTACAGGTGTTTCTTTTATTGAAAACAATTGTTATTATAATTGCAACTTTTGTTCATTATAGTTTCAGGGGAAACTGGAATTTTTTTAAAAAACCAATTTTTATTGATCATGTGTTGCTTAGCATGTTTGTTTTTCATGATTTTTGACTTTTTTCATGTTTGTGCTGTATCGCGAGTGATGTGAAGCTCCGCTTGACCCTTTTATTAATTGTATTTTTGATTTTTTTTCAGTTTGCTGAATAGCATTAGCTCAAATCATTGTTGCTTTCGGTTGCTCGATGGGATGGGTTTATCAAATTGTTTCTGAAGCAGGAAAATAAGCTTCTAAATTTATGCACTTTTTCATTTTTTTTCTTTTAAGATTTTTTTATAAAATTTGTTTTTGCACTTGTTATAACCAAGGGTATTGCAATCGGATACTAGATTTTCCCCCGTAACTTTGTTCACAAGACTCACTCATCTCCTGGATCCTGTATGCAATCATACACTTCCTTATTTATTATTTCAAATTCTAATAATCACCCGGATCATCTGGCGTAGAGGTTACACATCTGCTTAAGACGGCAAAAACTTGTGGTTTGAATCCGACCGGGACCTGTTTTTCTTCAAACTTCGGTTTTTAAGCTATCTCGGACTATCTTCCGTCTGTTTAGTTTTGTCGCCTTAGTTACCGTAACGCGACTTATTTTTTAAAAAAGGCTCATTTTTCTTCTAAAATACTGT